AGATATGTGAAACACAGAATACAGGTCTTGTTCAAGGTCATTCTTTTCAAACTGGAAAAGGGAATCACTAAAAGACATCATCTAGAAGAAGAAAATCTAGTGTCAACTCCTTTCAACCTGACTCTGCTCCTGGATGTTTCCTGTTATTTTCCTTTTAGGAATGACTAGGAAAAGATTTGTCAAGGAGGAGATCCCTGCTGGGAAGTTTCCTATCAATTTCTTCACCCCCCCAGCTATCAGGAACACCTCTGCCTAGGGATAATGTCTAAAAAGGGGGATAGAACCTCATCTCCAACCCAGCTTTAGCTAGCCTGCCTTCTTTCTTTCCTTCTTTCTTTCTCTCTCTCTCTCTCTCTCTCTCTCTCTCTCTCTCTCTCTCTCTCTCTCTTTCCTTCCTTCCTTCCTTCCTTCCTTCCTTCCTTCCCTCCTTCCTTCCTTCCAGCTGCTAGAAGATCTATTTCCTTATGACATTTAACCTAGCTCCAGTCCTACAGAGGAATGACCTTTTTAAACCTGAATCACACTACAATGTATGTTCAAGCTGAGGATTTAAATTCTGGTTTATGGATTTGTCGGCCTACCCTGATGATGGGTGCACAAAGATAAGAACTGACGTGCAAAAGATGAAATCCACAGTGAGAAAAGGCCAAAGGGAAGTGAAACCCGGGTAGGAAAACATTTATTTTCCCAGCACCAACATTCTTCAGCAGAATTTTTATTTTTCTTAGTCATCTTCTGGATATGTCTGAGCTATTTGCTTACAAAATTATGAGATGTTTACCATGTAAGTCAGCTTTGTATGTTGGATGTTCTGAGTGATAGATTTCAAATAAATTCACTAAAAGAAAAGATTTGGGGGAAGTTATCTTTAATTCCTTCAAATCTTGTTTTTTTGTTTGTTTATTTTGTTTTGTTTTCTGTTGTTTGTTTGGTGTTTTATTTTCCTCTCTATCTTTTTGAATGTGGGCAATGAGATTTTTTTTTTCTCCCCAGTCTCCAGATAGTGGAGCATGGATTTCCTTACTGTCAGAGTTGAGTTAGTCTCTATATCCTTTCTCTGCGTTGAAGTTAATCACTAAACCTGCCTGAAAAGTCTGAAAAGTCCTAGACTTTATGTCTGAGTATAAAGTGGAAGACTAGTTGATTTTATATGCTTTGTTTTAATTGAAGGCAAAATAAAGCTGCAAATGACCGGATGGAATCTAGGAGAGCATGAGAAAAAAAGAAACAGTGATCTAGGAAATACACACTTAGCTTATCAAGGTTTCAATCCTGATAAAGCATGCAGTGTTTGAATGTCAAACAATTTTTGTAGCCAGCTTTCATTACATATTTTTGAATAAATACTCATGCGCGCGGGGGGGGGGGGGGGGGGTAGTGGGGAGGGAGGCTGTAGTCATAATAGGCGGTCAAACACCAACGCCCTACTCATCTCCCATTTCTCTTCCCTTAGACCCGGGCAGCCACCACCGCTACAATGCGCCCCACTGTCTGCCAGAGTGCCTGCTGAGCTCTCCAGCCCCGCCCCAAGTAGTGTCAAAGCAGACCTGCCAGCTGCAGCGGTGGAGCCCAGCCCCCAAAGCCCTCTGCATACATGGCCTTGTAGCACCACCACCCTGCCAGGGCTGCACCAGCAGCCGAATCGAGACTCTAGAGCAGGACTTGGGGACATCAGCGCGCAGGGACAACTAGAGCAGCTTCCCATTAGCTTGTAATCTGCAAATGCCATCATATGGATATCTATAGAAACGAAGGGAATACAAGGCAACCAGGCAGTCTCCATATACTTCCGAAACAGCTTTAGCAAACAGAAGACACCACCCCACACTCTGCTCCACCTCCATCAGTCTGTTCCTGTCTCTGCCTCCTAGATCGGTGAATTGGGGACCCACCAGGCCAAACCTCAGTGGCAGTGGCGTGCTGCCAGCAGGCAGCTCCTAAAGGCGGGAGACAAAACCAGCACTCCTCAGCTGAATTTTTCAGACCATCTTCACTATGGAATTAAACATTGATGAGACTACTTTGGAAGTGCTTTATGTTGTTAATTCAAATGCCCTCGAGAAAGAAGTGAATTTTTCTGTAGGGAATAGGCAACTGTGGTGATGGGGAGGAGAAAATGAACAATGTGCAAAGATAAGGGGCACTGGAAGTTAACTAAATTTGTTCTGCCTCCTCCAATGAAGGGAATCTCCATTTTCACATATCAGATCCAATATGCTAATTAGGCAGTCTCAAATTCAACCTGGTTTTAAATCAAAGCACTGGAAGGAATTTTCAAAATACCTATTGTACACAAACAGCAAACAGGGAACACAAGCTTCTGTCCACCTCTCTGATAAAGCAGAGGGGCCAGGGCTGATGTTGTCACCGGGGCTGGGGCTGGGTGGTGGCTATTGGTTTTTGGCCTCCTTCTCCCAGACATAAAAACGACTTCTTGCATCCATCTATTCTGCTACATCAAACCAAACCCCGGCAGTTAAACACCTCGTCTCAATACACACCCATGACAAGGAATTCCTTTCCATACTAAGCAAGTCCCAAGAAAACTCCATTTCACATCAAAGTCTCCAGATGCGTAATTCACAACTACTAAAAGGATCTGGCAAGATCGTACACAACAAGGGGAGGAAAACAACCAGGCACAAGAGATAGAAGGGTCAGGGGGAGGGAAAAAAAATCTTTGATAGATGTGGGGGGCGGGGAAACAAACACGGGATCTCACTCCAGTATCTGGAGGGTTGGATACCAAATGGTCCGCAACAACCATACCCTGAAGGAAACATGAACCATTCATCTCTGGCACCTTCAGACAGGTTCGACAAGCCTGTCCCTTTTCAAAAAGTATCTCCAGGCTTGATGTATTCATATATCTTTAGATTTCACTACCACACTACGTGCTTAGGTATAGGCTCACATTTTATGTACCAGGAACTGCATGTCCCCTCACTGAGCAAGCGCCCTTGGGTACCCAGCCCTTCCTAATGATTTTCAAAACATTAATAAGTAAAGTAGCCTGCAATGCAGATACGATGCTAGAAACAAGCCCTTAAGGAAAGTGGGTGAGGCAAGTAGTCCTTCATTGTTACCTGGTGCCTCTAGGGGGAAAGACGGTCATAGGAGGACTTTCTGCCTGCAGGTAAGATCCAGGCAAGGTGGCTCCAGGTGGCTTTCACGGCTGATCTGGGGTCTCGCTCATCACTTCGCTGCCCTTTGCCATAGCTCAGCACCCGCATCCTAGGGAGTCAGAGAGGTGGCTCCTGCCACTGCCGCCGCTGCCCGCAGGTCGCGCTGGGTGGGGAATCAGCGCAAATCGCCCCATGAAACCGATGGATCCGCGCCCGGGGAGCCGGCAGAAGCAGGGCGGCCGCGCACACACACACACACACAGACACGCTCACACACACTCACACATTCTCAGCCGGGCGCGCGCGCACTCACATTTGCACAAGCACTCCCAGCACCGCATCCGGAGGGAGAAACAGTACCAGTCCTTCTCAAGATCCGCTCCCGAAGCTCACCAGCCCACCGGCAAAGAGAGCAGTCGCTTTCTCACATAGCCCTTGATCACGTTTCCTTCAAGTTCTCCTGCAGCCCAAATCCTTGGAATTCAAAAGCTGGTGACATTTCGCTGGGGAGTAAAGGAGTCCTGGAAGGGCTATGGAAGTGTCGGGGGTTCGTTAAGCAGTTTGAAAAGCAATCCTCATTACCTTGTTTATACAGTAAACCAGGTGGAAGTGCCGAAGTTTGGGCTTCAAATGTCGTGGACAGACACGTTCATATTCTTCTGACCAAAACGGGAAAGTCAAGATGCAGGGAAATAAGACAGCTGCAAGACCCTCTCTTGACCTTGCGATGTACCTGGAAGCTGGTTAATACAGCTACTTCCCAAGCCTCTGGATTAAGTGATCCATACACCTGGCTCCACAGCCCAGCAGTCGCCCGGAATCCAGTCAGGAAAACGGGTCTGGGCGTCCTCCGCGCTCTGAGAGAACCTGGGCATGGAGGGGCATCTCTGAGTTAACACATTTGCTTCTGGGCAGTTGGAAAAAAAGACTGTCAAATGCATCCGATAGGCGCGCACACATACACACGCGCACAAACACACACATACACACACGCAGCTAGCTGGAAAGCGGTTTACAAAACACTAGAGAAACACCAAGATGACTTGAAAAGGTGGAAAACATCCAGGTTCGTGCCGGAAAACGGAAGGGCCAGACGGGAGATTCCGAAAGTCTTCTCAGGTCTTTCAATATTCATATTTCTATTCCTCTCCCCTCTTTCTATTTCTCGTTTCCAGAATGTTTCGTGGATCTGCCCCACCCCCGTGCAGTTGCGCCTTTTTTTTTTTTCCTGGTATAACCGACCATGCAACATGAATTACATGGGTGGTTTTGGGCTCACAGCTCCCCAAAGTCAAGAATCCCAAGGACCAGCTAGCTGAGAAGCCATTCACATCTTCCAGGGAAGAAGAAAAGCACACGCGCACACTCGCGTGCACGCACACACGCGCACACACACACACACACACACACACACACACACACACACACACACACACACACACAGGGTTCAGGCCGCTCTGCACACGCTCACCGCCTCCCTGCGCCGCTGCACACAGCGCGGTGGGCGCCCCTCCCGCTGGCCCAGGCTCTGGGGCGAGTCCACAGCTCAGGCGCGTGGCGGGAAGCTAGGGTCCCGGTTCGCAGCCGCCGCCCCGGCAGGCCTGGGAGAGCCGCTTCCCAGTGCTGTGCGAGCGGGCAACGCCAGCCAGCCGCCTGGCCCGGAGGAGCTGCGCTCGGCGCTGCAGCATGGAGGCGGCGGCGGCGGCGGCGGCGGCGGCGGGCGCGCGGCCGTGAGCCCGTCCCTAGCTGCAGTGACGAGAACGGCCGCACCTCCCAGACCCCTAGAATCAGGCGACACCCCAAGCCGGCGCCGCCGAGCTTTCGGCCTTGGTGACTCCTGGCTAGACGTGTTGGGAGAACCGATTTACCGCTGGCGGGAGGAGAGGGTCAGCGCTGTGCCTGCAAATCCCCAAGCAGAGGAGGCGCGGGGGCGTTGCAGGCGGGCGGGGTTGGGGGAGGGGAAGCGGTGGCAAACCCGAAGGAAGAAAGCTAACTTCAGGGGCATCCCCCTCCTCCCCCCAGCCTCTGTTGGAAATGAACTGCCGATCTGATTGCCCACTGTCGGGAGGTTAAGGGTTTTTTAAAAAAAAGGTGTCACCAGGTCTAGCTGTGGCTGTTAAGGGCAGTGTGAAAAGTGATTAGCTCCAACCCCGCGGAGAGAATCCCTGCCTGAGAGCTACTGGCTGACGTTCCCAGGCACCCGAGGCTGGCTTCCAGAGTCCCCTAGTCGGAGGGGGGTGATTTGCTTACTAATCAGATGGGAGCGGATTCTGAAGAGAACATTTACATTTGGGAGTTAGCGCGGTACCGGCGTAAAGAAGTGATGCTGCTGACCACGTTTAGTGTGCAGAGCTGAACGCGACCCCGGGAGTAGGCAGAAAGCAGGCCTGGCCACCTAGGTCACTTGAACTGGGGAAGGATGTGAAGCAGGCAAGGTGTGGTGCAGAGGAAACCCGAAAGGCCTCTTGAAGAGGGTATTGGGCAGGGCCCGCCCTGGTTTTCCTCTGGTAATTCTACATAGATGTCCAGTTAAATCCCGGACCGGGACCCAGACCCCAGCAAAGCTCCCGGAAAACCCCTAGAGCCAGTCATTGACGAAAAGTCGTTCCGTAACTGGAGCGGTCGGAACCCAGCCCTTTCCGGTTAGAGATTATGAGCACTTGATCTTCGGTTTCTGTGCGCTCCTCCTCCGTCCAGACACCAGTCTGAAACAAACCCGAATAGAAGAGTTTGGGGGATGCTTTGGGAAGCTAGCTAACAAGCATCCCTTCCTCGCGTACTTGGAGAAGTCTTGCACCGCACAATTCCTCCCAGGATAGGATGCTTTGGAATTTTGCTACCAATAGAACTCTAGAGGCTTTACCTTTGCCTTGCGAATGCACAAAGGCGCGCACACTCAGGCACACCCACACCCACGGGCTCGCTCCGAGTGCGCGCGTAGGCACCTGCGCATAATCAAGACCCACACAGATGCCTCTTTGGGAGATGAACTCAGCCTGGAGTACTTTAAGTGGTAACTGCTCCCATTTCCTCCTCTCTTTCCTGGGCTCCCCTCTTTGCCGCCCAGCCCAGGTTCCAGGTTTATCCCTGGATGGTGCATCCCTGGGTTTAGCAATCTGAGCTATCCTTTGGCTGCCTGATTCCAGAAGAGCAGCGTGCCTGGGGCTGCGGTTCCCGCCGCACAGTCTCCGTCCAGTTTGGCTACACCGGCTGGGGCTCCCGGTTCCAGAGCAGTCTCCAGCAGTAGATTGCAGAGCGTGAAGCGAGTTCGAGAGTCCGGGCATCCACTCCGAGCAGCTAGATACTGGCCAGTAAGATTCCATGCCAATTTGTAAAGGGACTCTGGAGGACAAACACTTCAGCCAACACCCTGAAGTCTCCACTAAAATCGAGAGCGCTTCCCCGGTGGGCTTCTGGTCAAGGAAGTGGATAACCCAGTGCTCCAAGAAATCCCAGGCGAGAACCTCCACGGAAGGGAGGTCAGTTCTGGAGGCACTCGAGAGAAAGTGATGCTTTCTGATTTCTCTTTAAACTTTGCAGCTTTGAGGACTCCAGGGCGACCGATGGAGTCGCCCTAGCTCGGTCTCCAGGCAGATCCAAATGAGCACTTCCAAGTACTTTAGGACGTGGGGGTGACTCCTTTTTCCTTCAGGACTGTCCCACTTGTCCAGCTCAGCTGAAAGGAACTAGAGGTCTCCAAGATAAGGATTTGCAGTTCCAAGAAAGGGACAAAGTATATATCCGAATACTGAATCAGAACCCCAAAGACTTTGCCTATCTGGATTGAGTAACTTCCTTTTTCCTTGTTTTTGATTACATTTTATACCGGGACAGAGGTGAGAAAAGGACTCACCACCAATTGGGCCAAGTGAAGATGTTAACAGTAGGGAACAAGACAAAATTCAAATTTCACCTTGGGGTGCTTTTAATTAAACCCGCGGGGGGTTGTTTTGCGGTGAGAAAAGTGACATCAGCGTTTGGCTGAAGTGGGGAGCAGTGCATAGGCTCTCAGTGTTCTTTCTAGGTTCAACTCTTTCCAGGCAGAAATGGCCTCTTAACTTCACCTTCCAGGGCAGCGCTTACTGCTGAGGGTGTTTGCCTCTGCTCTCCCCGCTCCACCTCCCTCTAGGAAACTGTGTCTGCTGAGGCAGGAATCTTTCACTCTGCAGGTACTGTGTTGTTTACGTCCTTTGCAAGCTAGTTCGAAATTGCAGAGGGAGGAGAAAAAAAAAAGCTTTATTTTCCATGATTGTTTTTCATAAAGGGTGCTAGAGCTAACAGAAAAGTAACAAATAAAGTAATAAAACATAATTTTTATCATATAAATAGTAATGAAATATAAAATAATAAAAAGTATCATTTGTTTTGTTGTTTTAAGGTGCCCACACACATACTCATCCCCCCTGCAACCCCCACATACACACACACACACACACACACACACACACACACACACACACATACACACATTCATCCAGCAACTTTTGGAAGTTGGTTATTATAAGAAGTTTTTAATTTACTTTTCCAACTATTGTTGAGAATAACTAATGCTAAAGCTCTGAACATTTTCAAGAGTTCACACACTTTAGAATAGGACTATTTTATCCAGCATTTAAAAGGGAAATTTTATCTTCAATAAATCATTTGGATTAAATTTAGCTTATTTCCTCAACAACTATTGATCTTGGTTATCTTAATTCGTCCCAAACTAAACTTATGCCAAATCATTTTTTTTTTTAAGTTTCAACTTCCTATCTCCTCCAGATGACTTTCCTAAGAATTGATGGCCATAAATGTTGGAATTCTCATTTTCACAGAATGAACCAGTTTTTTTTAGGGCTGAGTGTTTTCCAAATTTCAGGCAATAAGTCAAAATGAGAATATTTTACAGTCAAAATATTATATGTCAAAAAAGTATCCCTAATTTCTTTCTTTCTTTTTTTTTTTTGCATTGGTTTGCTCTAATGTGGTGAGAAAATAAAACCCACTCCTTTTAAAAAAAGGGGGGGGGCGTTAACTACAGAGTTCATGAATCTTATTTCTGTGAATGAAGGCATATAGTATGTCATCACTTTAGTTCATTATATTCTTCCTTGTGTGTTCTACGACATACACATTTCAATTGGCAATATCTCCAGGTTTTGTGGTGATGAGTCACAGTTGTGTTACCAGCCTCTGGTTCCTTTTAATAACCAAAGGCTCTGTGACTTTCAAACTTAGAGATGATATGAAGAAACAAGGAGAGATAAAGTTTTGAACTGAACATTTAAAACATAATTTAAACTAAAACAAATTCCTTGCACTGAAGTTTACATTAATAGCTAACGTAGCTGTGACCTTCATAACTTCTAATCACTCATGCACTTGTGACCTTCAGAGTTCTGCAATGTTAAAAGTTTGCTTCAGAACTTATCTCTGACATATCTGAAGCCCATGAGTGCAGAATATTCTGGCAACTAGGTCTTACCCAAAACATCTGTTATCTTAGCAGAGTTGAACACCTGGCTTATTATCTCTGACATAATAAGTTTTTATACATAATTTGGACTAAAAGTATAGGTAACTATACTCATTTTATTACACCTGAGACAAAGACACCTTGCCCCCCACCACACACAGCTTAGTTTGTTATTTCTTGAGATTTACTTGACTTTAGGAGCATATTACTTCCCGGAATCTGGCTATCATAGCCATAACCTCAATCCTATGGCTCATGACAAGACTGTAGCAGGAGAGCCAGATCTTCTCATTTCCTAATGGGGAGGAATCTAACACCAAAGACTTAGTTAATCACTGTATGGAATGCTCTTCTCCCTCTGTCTCTCACCTTGTCTCCCCCACCCCACCCTAGAAAGGTTAATGTTGGATTTTAAATTTGGAAACATAAATGGGGGCAGGGGAGACTGTTCTGGGTAAGGAAGGGATTTCTCAAGAGTTTACAGAAAGGAGATTATCTTAGTGCTAAATATTGCTGGACAAAAAGACAATCCTTAAGCATTATTATAGTTAACCATCCTTTTCTTTCTTTCCTTCTTTGCTTATTTGTTTATATGGTGGCAAACAGACTCCACATTAGATAATAGACTTTTTAGTTATTATAGATACAGTGTATCACTCCATTGAAAAATATCAACCATTCTAAGAAAGGCATGATCGTAGTTACTACAGATACAGTGTATCACTCTGTTGAAGACTATCAACCATCCTAAAAAAGACAAACTAGAATTTTGATTTCTTCCTCTCATCAAAGATACTTTGTCAAACTAGATGGATCTAATTGTTATTGTTATGTGAATCTATACTAAAATGTAAGTGACCCACCACAGTCTATACATCTTGGGAATATAAAGGCAAGTTGTTTCCTAAATAATAAAGCTTGTAGTAAAATATATACAAGAATGGGGCTACTTTGATTACTCTTCATTCACTGAACTGAGTAATAAATGTAGTACTTTTTACACTTTCTCATATTTTTATATTGCCTTGGGAAGATTGTTAAAACCTAGTTTTAATTTATGAAACATATTCTATACGTGCATATTCACATATGTATAACCTCATGACAATTTCCACTTAATTTCTAAGCTTCACTCTAAAATCAAGCTAGTTGTGAAATAGTTATTTTAAAGACAAAAGTTTGAATTATTATAACTTGAATTATGCTAAAGACTGGACACAATGAATCCTATTAGATGCAAGCAATATGCCTCATGAAAGACATTAATGTTCTTCTGTTAAAAGAGCAGTGGTAAACTATGTAGTTCCTGTATGCTATTCAGCTTTATTTTACAGATTTAGTTTTTGTTTTTTTCTTTTTTCCTGCAAATTCATGATTATTTTCTACCTCAAATTTCAGACTGGTGACCACAAGTGGCCAGTAACATGACACCCACTTGATTGAGACAATAGGGTGGATTTTTCTGAAACATCAGGCCCCAGAGACTTAGATTAAGAATTTACTTCAAGAACCACATGAGAATAGGAAGAAGTAAAGTGCTAGAGAGGCCCACAGAAATCCACAAAGATACTCCCACAACAGACTGCTGGCAATGGTCGAGAGATAGCCTGAACTGACCTACTCTGGTGATGGGATGTGCTAGAAACCCCATCCAACGCCTGAGGGATCTGAATGCAGAGATCCATGGCTAGGCCCTGGGGATCTCTGGGAGTCCAATTAGTGAGAAAGAGGAGGGTTTATATGAGCGAGAATTGTTGAGACCAAGGTTGGATAAATCACAGGGACAAATAGCCAAACGAATGGAAACACATGAACTATGAACCAATGGCTGAGGGGTCACCAACTGGATTAGGCCCTCTGAATGGGTGAGACAGTTGATTGGCTTGATCTGTTTGGGAGGCATCCAGGCAGTGGGACCAGGTCCTGTGCTCATTGCATGAGTTGGCTGTTTGAAACCTGGGGCCTATGCAGGATTGCTTGGCTCGGTCTGGGAGGAGGGGACTGGACCTACCTGGACTGAGTCTACCAGGTTGATCTCAGTCCACGGGGAAGGCTTTGCCCTGGAGGAGATCAGAATGGGGGGTGGGCTGGGGGGAAGGTGAGGGGGGCGGGAGGGGGGGAGAACAAGGGAATCCGTGGCTGATATGTAGAACTGAATTGTATTACAAAATAAAAAAAAAAAATTACTTCAAGAAAGATAGCTTGTCTGCTTAAGGCCCCCCTGCCAGTGTAGCTTGGTCTGCTTAAGGCCCCCTTGCCAGTGGGATCTATCCCTGGAGCATGAGCTTGCTTTTTGGAGCCCATTACCTATGATCGGACACCTTGCACAGCCTTGATGCAGGGTGGGGGCTTAGACCTGCCTCAACTGAATGTACCAGGCTTTGCTGACTCCCCATGGGAGGCTTTATCTTTTAGGAGGAGGGAATGGGGGTGGGTTAGGGGAAAAGGCTGGGGATCAGCAGGAGGAGGGAAGAGAGAAAATTTAAAATAAAATCAAATCACATACTAAAAAATAATTTACTGCAATATATTTGATTAAAATGCATTTATATTAAGGTAAACTATATCTGATAAGTTTTATGAGTATGAAAGCACACAATCTCTTCCAGAACTCTCTCTCTCTCCCTCCTTCCCTCTCTCTGTCTCTCTGTCTCTGTCTGTCTCTGTCTCTTTCTCTCTCTCTCTCTCTCTCTCTCTCTCTCTCTCTCTCTCTCTCTCTCTCTCTCTTCTCTCTCTCCCTCTCTCTGTTATGGATTCAGGTATGCTAGAATGTGCATGTATTTGTAGATCTGAGGTACAAATTGAGTGTACCAAAATTTGTGAGTCTCCAAAAATTGCTCTCCACCTTACGTATTGCATTGTGTTTTGTATTATATTGTATTGTATTGTTTTCTATTTTGTATTATACTGCATGCATTGCATTCTATTCTAAGTCTATTCTATTTCATTTTTGAGACAAGTTCTCTCACTGAACTTTGAAATAAGTTTCATGTGAGGCTGGGTGGGCCAGCAAGCCCTCAGGATTTACATGTCTCCCTGTTCTCCTACCCCAAGTGCTGGGGTCTTACTTGGGGCTGGGGAGCCGAACTCAGGTCTTTCTTTATGCCTGCTCAAAAGGCACTTTGAAGCACTGTGCCATCTCCCCAGATGCCAGAACGAATTGACATCGACTTCCATAGTATGTCTTAGGAATTTGCCTCCCCTCTAGTCATGGGCTTTGGTATGAAGACTAATTTATTATATGTTCTTTATTCATGTTTTATGTTCATAGTCTTTTTTTAAAAAAATGAGCACCGTTAGTTTGGTTACCATCTTTTAAAGTTCCATGGTGTTTATTGCTCTGATCTCTGTAGCTCAAGAATAAAAAGGAAACTTTTTTTTTTTTAACATGGCCACCAAACTTCTTTCCTTACACAGTGATGTTGTATTCTCTGATGACAGTTTTGCTCATGCCAAGGAAATGCATGGATCACCTTGCTTTTGACTAATGCCCTGCACTATGCCTGGAAGATAGGAGTTAACCGTGGTTTTCAGTCTTTGTTTCTCACAAAGTGCTTAGCCAATAGCCAAGTTGTTCCATTATGATTTTGGTTTTATTTCACTACTAAGATTTATGAAATACAAATGTCTCTTTCTTTGTCTCTTGTGAAACTTCTTCAAGTTATGAGCAATCCCCAACTCTTACTTCCCTATAAGGCAACTTTGGAATATCTAACTAGTCTTACTTCCCTGCGAAGCAATGCAAAACACAGCATAGGAAACCATTCAGCCATGTTGCTTGAACCCTTAGAGTTTTGGGCTTTAGACAAATTCAAATATTTAGCCAGAAGAAAAGATGAATCAGCAGCTAACAGCAGTTGCCCAGACCCAGGGTTTGGTTCCCAGAAGCCATGTCAGGATGCTCACATGGATCTAAAATTCAGCACTAGGAGGCATCCAGCACATTCTTTCTGTCTCCTCTGGTGTCCTCAGGCACCCACATAATCACCCCCCTCACTTATACACACACACACACACACACACACACACACACACACACACACACACACACACATTAAATACATAAATAAATAAGTCTTTAAAATACTTTGATTTGGGGTTTGTTGAGCAGTATTAATAACTGCCTTGTAAGCTAGCTATTAGAAACTATCTTTTTCAAGTCATGTAATAAATGACTCAGTTTTACTAAAATATATTACAAAGAATCAGACTCACAAAGAACTTCCCTTTTAAATAAGGATAAAAATGTGTCTATCAAAATGATACTAAAATCTTCAGAAATATGGTAAAGACATTCTACTGATACTTTTATTTTCCTTGGTATTAAATTTGGATGAGATAATATTGGTGAAATTCTGAATACTGATGTTGCTTTGTTGAGATTTTACCTCAAGATATTAGAAAGGAACAGGTGTCATACCTGTCCCTTTGGTGAGATCTGCCATGAAAAGAACACAATTAAAGATTCTTCCATAAATATTGCTGAGTTTCCCCTTGTCTCTTCAACTTATTATTAAGTCTTGGCCATTTTAGAGGGAGCTAAACCGCTTGAATGGAAAATAAATATTGGATCATATTAATCGTTAGTAAATTAACAGATATTTGGAAGAACATTTTACAATAAGAGTACAGAAGCATTATAAAATATTTTAAATATTTCCTCACCAATAGATTATAATCTTCATTAACATCTATACTTCATAGCAAATGTAGCTATTGTCAAATATTTTTTATTTTAGCTGTATTTTATTTCTATGCAATACTATTTTTTGCTGTCTTTAAAGTGAATTTGTTTAGTTCTAATCTCAACTTAAACTATCATCCATTATATCTTTTGATTTTGCATAGATATGCCAAAAATATAAGCACAATATTGCCTTATTTTTCTTTTAGGTTGACATGTTTTTAACACATCAGTTACACGATGACTTATAAAACTGCAACCTTTTAAAATAAAAAAATACGTTTTTGAAAAATAGTACAAAATTTTGCTTTTTGTGGAAATGTATTAGAAACAAGAAATTTAAAATTGACAAAGTTTGAGATCCAGCGAAAAGGACCATGGTATATTGTAAAATGTGAGTAAAACCTTTCTTTGTGGTTTTTAAACAAATAAATGAGCATTTATCTTATAGTTTCACAAATACATTAATTCTACATTTTATGGTGGAAAATTTAAAGATTGTATAGATTGCATGTTATACTGATAAACTATAGATGTATTTATATGCAATTGCTCTAATTATTTATTTTACAAATAACATGCTTCATAACTAGGAAGACCTAGAGTAGCCTTCATTCAACGAGCCTTGGTATGATTCCCTAGTTTTCATTTATGTAAAAGGGTCTATAAATCTTGGAAGAAGAAAATAGATGTAGGACTCAAAAAACGAAGGCCAATTATAGGTTAATTCAAAGCTACATTTACAATTTCATATGTTTATCATCTAGAAATTCCATTTTAACTTCAAATGCTAATTCTTTGCTGCCCAAAATGTTGTCTTATACTCCACAAAGATAACTATTTTTTGCTTTTTCAGTCACAAGTGGTTAAATGGATGATTTATGAGGAAGAGAAAGGTATGTAACATGCAGGTTTCTTTCTCCAAGCATTGGTTTCCTTTTTTTGTGTTAATTCATAGATAAACCCACAGATCCATGCATCACTCAGGCCTCATGAGAGAAGATACTTCTTTCAGTAGATGACAATTAACACAGAAACCCACAACAGGTGAACATACAAAGGACAAGAAACATTAGAATGCTCAGCCCTAAGTCTGTACCATATGCCCTGCTCAAGGCCCAAAGATCTATGAAGAAGAGGATGTGGAAAGATTGTAAGAGTCAGAGGGGGTCATTTTTGACTTCAAGGAAAGCAGTGTTTTCAAGATACAAAAAGGTACAAGACCACAAGCTCAAGTGAGACAAAATCCCAGTACTGAAGAGGGGAGATGGGCATGAAGTCTCATCTCTAGCTGAGGAACTATTCACATTTGATTACTTCTGGAAGAAGGAAAGTTCATTTTCTTCAATAGAGTAACACCTGTTATACTGACCACCCCCCAGGACAGGTGCTGCACCAAGGAAGAGTCAGAGAAACTAAGTTCTGCAGGCACAGGGGGAGTGTTGGAAAGGTAGGGAGATGGGCAGGACCTGGGAAGAATTGGGGGAAAGAGAATAATATGATTAAAACAGAGTGTGTGGAACTCTCAAAGGATAAATAAAAACATTATTTAATTTTAAAATTCTAGTTTTGCTTTTCTGGAAACAATTGTTTTCTGTTTTTTTTTTTTTTTTTTGAGGGGCAGATGGACTCATAATTATTTCTGTGTTGTGTATGCTTTGCTTTTCAGGGATAAAATAATCTCCCAGTGGGAGTCTGTTTTCTTGGTTTTTGTTTTTGTTTTACTTCCTTGCAATATATCTTTGCTATAGTGTGCCCTAAAAAGTAAATGCTGAAACTGAAAGGCGACAATACTGAGCACAGCCGGAGAGAGTGGGCACGGTTCTGAACAAGCTCTGTTTAGTTCTGGCAAAGAAAGTGTCTGGGTATCATCTCCCAGCCGATGAAACGTGCTGGAGTGTCAGTTATGACCCCATTACAAACGCTGCCCTTCCGACTCTGTGCAGATCACATTTACATACACAAGGAGTTTTTATTAGACACGGTGTGACAACGAGACCTCCTGTAATTGTGTTTTCTCGTTTCCAACACTATTTGCTTTGCTTATCCCTTTGATGCTGAAATGTATAAAGGAATGGAACCAACTTCATTTAATCATTTATTTTGTGATTTTTTTTTCAGAAACCGCAAGCTTTTCTCTGCTATTTTAATATTGAACCGAGCATATGTTAGACACATGAAGCATGGGTGAAACAGATTGCCCAGCTTGGTAGGTCATATTTTAAAGTATGTTTTATTCTATTCTTAAACCAAAAAGTGTTTAACAGGTGAAACAGAATGGCTACCAGGAGCCGTAAAACAAGCTGATGAGATAGATACTTTTAGCACTCAGCAATCCTGATACAAAGCCACTGACCAGCTGTTCTCTCTGTTGTTTCTAGCAGTGTGGGGATCATCCCTGTGAAATGATGATGAGTCAGCCTTGGCACGCAGTGTGTTAAGCTTAACTCCAACTGAATAAGTAATTTCTCTATCAAATATGACATTTGATTGTACTGTACCACTGTTTACCCAAAATTATAATCAGAAAATTGACATTTATCATTAATTCAACATGTAGCACCTATGCTTTCGTGTGCATATTCCTATCCTGACATGTTTTGTGATATTTACAACCTAAGAAAGGAAAAAATTAACATATATATTAAGTTTTAGATTACATTTAGAATAAAACAGGATCTTGATGTTTGGAAGGTTATTTCAGAGTTGTGAAAATTATCTTCCTCCTCTATTGTTTGTGTAAGGATTACATTACCTCATCAGTCCTGATGCCTATGGTCAGAAGGAACTCTTGAAGACAATTTTTCCTATATCTGAAACATACATGGTAGCAGTAGTTATTAACTACTCCATATGATTCAAATAAGTGCAAATTAATACGTATTAGGGATGCATATACAAGAAATAATGTATTACTTCAAAAATGACTATAAGTATACATGCCTGTCTGTAATAACTACTTTAAAAGACATCCTATTTAGGGCATAGTAAAATGACTCAGTCAGCAAAGTGCTTTCCAGGCAAGGATCATTACTTGAGATCGGTCCCAAATACCCAATTAAAATTTCAGGTTCTAGTGAGAAATTCTGAGTCATGAAACAAGATGAGTTCACAGCTCTCATTAGAAACAGCACCTAAAGTTGTCCTCTGACTCCCACATTCAGACACGCACATACACACAAAAACACACACACTCATGCACTTCCACGTGCAGGAGCACTGCTCCCACACAACTATCCCATTCATTCACATTCCCAAGTATTTGAATTTACATGGATAGAAATCTAATTTTGATAATAATCTGCAGATAACTATTTTAACTGCAAATTTAAAATAAAAAAAAATTAAAATGACAAGCTAACTTTCTGTGCTTGAATTTAAATGCAGTAAAAACCATAGTAACTCTAAAAAAATACTTTTCCTTGAAAATGGAGTAAATTGGATTTTTTTTTATTAACCTATAAGTTAGTGGTGAATCATTAGAGTTCTGAAAATTAGAACTCCCCAGTTTTCTTGATTTTGGGCAGATTGCGGTAAACATAATGATGGAGCATCACCACCCATAAAGGGCTCATGTTCTGAAATGAAAAGGAAGCATTTAAATATGTAATTGAATTCAGTACACTCCAGGACAATGTGAGGCATGTCTGTTTCTGAACAGTGAGCTGATTCATGCCTTGATAAGGAATTTTAATTTGAAAATCAGCAATGAACTTATTTGGTCTATGTAAAAGTATAATAGATAAGAACCTCTATTTGGGAACTACTTGTGCATTAGTGTTGAAGATGAAGAGATAACTGAGCATTAATTAAAAAAAAATTCCACAACAATAGTTATTGTTGTGTAAACATGAAATAAAATGTGTGAGTCTGAGACAGAAAAAAAAAGTTAGATGTGAGAATTGACAGAAGTAGATTTAATGGCTAATCAGATCCTTAGACCGATTCTCAAGTATTTTATTCATAATGCCTATTATTCATAACAGAAGAAACTATGTGAGTCTCTTTCTCTGGTAATTTATAGCAAAGGTATACTACAGAAGAGTTGAAGACTACTGTGAGGCAGAGCAACTACAAAGAAACACAGTTACAGACATGCCATAGAAGCACAAAAAAGGAGATATTGATGTTCATAGGCAATTCATAGCTTTGAACTTGAATAAGCTGTTTGTTGCTAGCAAATGTTTGGTAATCAGGTTGGCAAAAATATTTGGGAAGGAAATAAGAATGATTTGTACATATAACCCTACCTCTAACCCTTGATAACTCTAATGATATCTGTGATTGAAAAGATTCAACCTCGGCTGACTTTGCATTGCTATATGAGATCATTGACTACAGAGTTGGGAAGAATTATGCACAGTTGACCTCAGCCAGCCAACAAGCTGGTTCTAGCTTGCCAATGACGGCAAGATGCAGAAGTGTCCCCATATGACTTTTTTGTTGTTATTCTGTTAAGGATTCCACAATGTTGACCAGTATACTCCCTCTTGAAATCTCTCCCAGCATGTTGTGCTAGTGGAGGGATTTGTATGACAGAGATGGGATAGGGAGAAGGGGTTGATTAGTTCTGTAAATAGAGCCACGTTTGTGGCTGATTGGGAAAACATAAGTGATTTAAAGGGCTTATGGTAAGTGGTTTAAAGCAGTCACAGATGGATGAATATGTTCTCTCTCAAGTGAAAGCTGAAATATTTTAGTGACTATCTATAGGAGTGTAGAATAGTGCTCACTAGAGGCTAGGCAAGGGTTTTCTATAAGGAACCTGAATAGCTGCCAGCAAAATGTAGTAGGGAAGAAGAGTAAGCTTTAGTGTTGTACAGCACAGGGATGTCACTATACTCTGCACTGATGTGTTATATATTCTATTCTTTAAAAAAAAAAAAAAAAAAAAAAAAAACAGAGCTGGGCGGCGGTGGCACACGCCTTTAATCCCAGCACTTGGGAGGCAGAGCCAGGCCGTTCTCTGTGAGTTCGAGGCCAGCCTGGGCTACAGAGTGAGTTCCAGGAAAGGCACAAAGCTACACAGAGAAACCCTGTCTCAAAAAAAAAAAAAAAAAGATTTTGAAGAATCCCAACACAAAGAAATGACAAATATTAAAAGAAATTATTTAGTTTTATGATTTACATCCCCTCTATCTCCCTCTTTCCCTCTCTCCCTCCCTCTATGTGTGTGTGAAAGTATGCATGTGCATATATACGTACCAGCCCATGTGTTCAGCAACTATGGAGGGTGGAAACACTGGTTTGCCTGGAGCTGAATTTACAGGTTGCTGTGAGGTGCCTAACATAAGTGCTGGGGCCTGACTCAGGTACTCTGTTGGAACAGTAATGGCTCTTAACTGTTGAGCAAAGGAGATGGAAATGTTAATTATTCTTATTTTATTAAAATATATTGCATATATATGTATATATAAAACAAGTCATCACACTATGTTTGATAAATATACAAACTAATTATATATAAAGTAAAATTAGATAAATACTTCTAAGAATTTTGAAAGTCTCTTTTACAAGGTTACAGAATTATAGTTTAAAGAGCCGAGAAACAGTTATAGAAATGTTTAACATCTTTAGGCATCAAGGAAGTGTTAAATCAAAACTACTTTGAGATTTCTTTTTGTACCCATCAGAATGGCTAAGATTAAAAAACAAAAACAAAAAGACAGGTGAAAGCAAATATTGGAAGGGTGTCTAGTGAGGGGAATACTCACTCATTGCTTGTGGGACTGAAAAATTGTACAACCCCTAAGGAAATCAGCATGGTGGCTTCTCAGGAAGATGGAAATCAATCTACCTAGGTTTCTGCTGTACCACTCTTGTGCATACAACCAAAGGACATCTTCCCACAAAGACACTTGATCAACAATGTTCATTGTTTGCTCTGTTCATAACAGCTAGAAAATGGAAACAACCTAGATGTACCTCAACAGATGAATGGATAAAGAAATGTGGTACATGTAAACAAAATGGAATATTACTAAGCCATTAAAAAGAATAATTTACAGGTAAATGGATGAAACTAGAAAAAAAAAGATTCCCAAGTGAAGTAATTTAGATCCAGAAAAACAAATATGGTATGTAATTGCTGATATGTGGATATTAGCTGTTAAGCCAAGGATAACCAAGTTAAAACAGATAGACCCACAGAGATTAGGTATAGAGTAATGGAAACAGGTAGCCAGACAGTTGTTAGTAGGAAAAGGAAACAGAATGGAGAGTTATGGATGGTTGAATGGGGCAGAATGAAAGGATCAGTTGGGGAAGAGGAGGGAAGGAGGTGACAAGTAAGAAAATATGGAGAGAGACAGCTAAACTTATGGGCTATTTGAAGGGTTGTATGGAATTCTAATACATTAGAAGCTTTGTATAATAAATCCATTGAGGACGGGAAATTTAATGAAATCACCGAAAAAGGGGAGGGAGACAGAGTCCCAAATGGACATCTCTGTCTTCAAACAAAGCTTCCAGTACCAAACTGGATTGCATCTAATTAAGTTGTTGGCCAAATGAGTCTCTTAGGAGCTCCCAAACAACACAGAGTGTTGCCTAGACTATAGGTTGCTCTCCACAAACTGATAGCCAGGCCCCATTGCTGAAGATGATATCTACACAACTCATTGAATGTGGAGAAGTTGAGCTAGTGCCTACATAGAGTCTTCACCTCATGCACTATTGTCTTTGATACAGGAAGGTATTCTGCATGCCACCAAATGAGAAATGTAAACACCAAGTGAGCCACAAACCCTTTGCTCAACAATGGTGTCTTGTCTGCAGGATGTGCTAGTAAAATTTTGGCACAAAGCTTGTGGGAGCAACCAACCAATATCTGATTTTAAAATAGGACCACTCTATAAGATGGAATTCATATGTTCCACTGCTTGGGTGACTGAGAATCTGAGACTAGATAGCGAAAGATCTAGCAAACCAAATATTATGGTTCTTTAAAAAAAGTAGCAATAAAATGACCCCTAATGATAGTCTGCTATACTTATAGTGTCTTTCTCAACCATCATCAGAAAATCTTCCTCCTGCAGCATATGGAAACAAATACAAAGACTCTCACCTGGACATTGTGTAGAAAATGAGAGACCTTGGAGGACTCAGGACTAAAAAGGATGTCTCTATCAAATCCCTCCCTGCAGGGCTCAGGTCACCCTGCAGAAGAGCAGACAAAAAAAAAAAAAAAAAAAAAAAAGAGTATATGTGCCAAAGCAGATGGAGGACACCAAGAAAACAAAGCCCTCTAAATCAACAGAATCTAAGCACATATAAACTCACGAGACTAATGCAGCATGCACAAGGCCTACACAGGTCTGTACCAGATGCTGTCCTGGAGCTGAAAGGAAAAGTCGACAGATGCTCCCATTCCTAACCCTGTAACTATCTCCAATTGGTATCCATTTGCAAATGAAAATGAAGTTTCCTCCAAGCAAGTCTCACTGGAGAAACAAACTACTCTTAGGGGCAGATGGCTTAGGAGTAGATGACCAACAGAAAATGAACTCAATGGCATCATTGGAGGTTCCTTGTCTCATCATGTCATGTCAGGGCTTTAAAAAACAATTTTAGTACTATATATATATTTTCTTTTTCTTTTTTTAACCCTACAAGTTCTTTGCATATATATTATGCTTCTAGTTTATTGTTTTTATGGGATTCCTGAGTGTCTGAACACATGGGTCTCTGCATCTATATTTGTTTTGTGTATCTTTTCTTAGGCTCCTTTTCTTCTGTGTGTTTTGTCCTATTCTTAATTTATTTTCTAGTGAGAGACAGAAAGGGGATGGATCTGGATGAGAGAGGAGGTGGGAATGAACTGGGAGAAGTAGAGGAAGGGGAAACCACAATTAGGATATATGAGGGAAAAATATCTATTTTCAATAAAATGAGAAACACATGAAATGAAAAAGAAAGTCTTCTAATTTCTATTGTTACAGAATTATACTATATAATATAAGACACCCTTCTGTCCCTGCAATATATTTCTTATTATGATGTAATATGTGGCAAGGACTTCTTTTTCTCCTTATTCTCATGTATTTTATGTTTTCTTTATGCTGAAAGGTGTACGAAACCTGCAATATTTAGGATTTAAGGCTGATGGAACTTTCATGACTGAGAAATTTTAACTTGTAAATTGTTTTCTGATACTGTAAAAAGTATTCTGTATATTCAGGTCTGATTTCAGACATTTCAAGGAAAATGTTCACTTTGGCTGTGCTGAATAAACAGCTTTTAGGGCTGGTAGTTAAGTCACTTCTGCCTCCAGGGGAGGGAGAAGTGAGTGATGGTGTTTTTCACCTACAGCTGCTGGACAAACCTGAAAAGAGAGCAAATATTTGCTTAAATATTTAGTGGGACTAATTCTATGATGAGAACTGGGTCTTATTGTTATGTGATTGAAAAAACAACCTTTGAAAAAAATACAAATGGAAATACCTCACCTTAAATGATGCTAGCTGGTAAATGCAAATTTTAGTTCCCCAGAACATGTTCAAAACCTTCATCAGTCCACATTTATTCATCATTTCAAATGAATTCCAACCTCCCCATCACAGAGATCAGTCTCAGTGCTGTACAACAATTCACACATTCTCATGAGATCGTAAACAAGAAATGACTATGTTGAGAACACATGCATCTGATATGTTTTTACTTTTGTTCTTTTTGTTCCCCAAAGAAAATGAACTAAAAAAAAATCACATAGACATGATTAACATTGTTTACTAAAAGAAAAATGAAAATTCAAGTTTGTATTCTTTAGTCTGTAAGATGGGGGAGCTGTTGTGCTACAGAAAATAGGCCCATTCCATTCCTTTCAGTACTTGGCTCTGATTAAACCATTTTACATGAAAATGTTGACCCAAGCCTTTGTACATGATAGCATGACTGAGGCGGCATAAGCTAATGAAAATGTGTGTCTAAAAGTGCTCCTTTTACCCCAAGTGTCAAACCTTGCTTTACTAATACTTTATTTAGAACAGGTACCAATCATTTCTACAACACCAAAATTCATTGATTAATATTTTATTTTTGAACTAAAAATCATCAAGTTGTACCCAAGAGAGTCTGCACATCTGGGCAGCATGAAAGTATGTTTATTTAAGAATAAAGGCCTTGTTAGCATTTGACTATGCTTCCTCTTAAACCCTGATAGACCCAACAAATCTCTTAATCCCTGTTAAGGGTAAGTGAAAAGAAAGCAATACTAATTTAACCTTGAGTAAATCCAAGTCAGGAAAATACAACCAGAATGTCTTTAATTTTTAATCTTACAAATATGAATACTGACAGGGGCAAAAATATTAATATCATAAATTATAACTGAAAATTATTTTAAACTAGACTAGAACCTGGTCACAAGCCGGCAAATGTGTCATTCATTTATACAATCGTTCCCCTGCTATGGAAATAACATTAGCAGTTACCTTCTGCTGTGGATGTGGGGATATGGACAAAGAGAAAAGCTTCTTTGCTGTGTGTGATTGCTTTTCTAATCCTTATCTCAAAAGTTAGGAAGAACCCACAGCAGTAGGCAAGGGAGATAACAGTGTAGCTTCTCTGCAATGTGAGCAACCACTACATGGGAATTATTTCCTTAAACTTGTTAGTCACCGGCCATTGCAATACGCTATCAATGCCCTTTTATATGTACTAAAAATATGATGATTTAAAGCTTATGTAACTCATGACTCTAGATTAATGAGTGTGAAAAGTGACTGATTGTCCTGAAAAATGGTAGCATTGCTAGAACCCCAGCCACCCAGTCACAGTTTGTAGCTGACCGTGTCTTTGTTTAGGCATTCTTTGTTAGTACTTCAGTGATCCAGTTCCAACCCTCAATACCTGGGAACATTATTTTGTATTTTGCACTTTCAAGTCAGGCTTGATGTCTTTCCTTGATGTGTCTGTAATGTCTACTAGAGTAGGCACTGTCTACAAGAAATTTAAAATGGAAGAATATTTATATATGATGGCATGTATCTCCCCATACAGCAAAGCTTGACGTTTGTAAGCATATGTTAAATGGTTCCTCCCTCAAGCTCTTTTAAAGTATGGTTAACAAATACTGCATAGCCGGGCGGTGGTGGCGCACGCCTTTAATCCCAGCACTCGGGAGGCAGAGCCAGGCGGATCTCTGTGAGTTCGAGGCCAGCCTGGGCTACCAAGTGAGTTCCAGGAGAGGCGCAAAGCTACACAGAGAAACCCTGTCTCGAAAAACCAAAAAAAAAAAAAAAAAAAAAAAAAAAAAAACAAATACTGCATATATTAATGGTGCACAACATGATAGCATTGGATTTGTATACAATTTTAAGCTGACATTAACAGTCACTTGAATATATCTGTCACTTTGCACAGTTATCTCAAATTAAATGAATCATATTACTTGTAAATAAATACTATTTTTCTACTATTAACTTTGACTTCATTTAAGAGTTATACAAAGAATATCACTGAATTTTTTTGGGGGGGATAAATCATATAAACATAGACCGTATAGTATTTCTGCTGACTTTATGAGTACATTTTAATAGATAATTCAAACCAGGTTATAATATTTAGTGTACTATTACTATCTCCTAACTCCAGATGTGTAATAATTCTCACAAATGATTCCATAGACCAATGTAATGTTTTACATACTGAGTTTAATGGCATGGATGGAACAAGTATTTATTTTACAACTTCAAAACTTTAGAAACAGACAGATCTGAAAGTATGGACTTTGTAAAAATTAAAGCTAAAATGAAAGTGGTGAAATTTTATTATATTCCATTAGCAATTGCTATAACCATTAAGCCATTTAGCATTAAGTAAGAGAAAAGGAGGGAGGGAGGGGGAAGGAGAGAGGAAGAGAGGGAGAGAGAAAGAGAACACAAAGGATGTCCATTTAAAAGCCTGCATTTACCGGGAGTGGTTACTACAGAAACTGGCTTTGGATCCATAACTATAGTTTTATTTCTTGTCTGCCATATACCAGAGTATGGTTTTGGGCAAACTGATTGAATTCTCTCAATTTATTCATATAAAAAAGAAAGATAACACTAGATACTACACATTAAAATTAACTGAGGTAATATTTTTACAACACATAAATTCCTGGGATTAAAAAATACATAATATCCTAGATGCCCCTCAACCAAAGAACAGATAAAGAAAGTGTGGCACATATATACACAATGGAGTTACACACAGTAGTAAAAAACAATGACATTATGAAATTTGCAGGCAAATGGATGGAACTAGAAAACATCATCGTGAGCGAGGTAACCCAGACTCAAAAGGACAAACATGGTATGTACTCACTCATAAGTGGATACTAGATATAAAGCAAAGGATAACCAAATTACAACCCAAAGAGGAACAAATGGATCACCCTGGGAAGGAGAAATAGATGAGATTCCCATGAGTCAACTGAGGCTGAGGGGTGGACAATAGAGGGTAGGGGGTGGAGGATGAGAGCATAAGGGAATGCGATGGTTAAGCTGGAACAAAGATGGAGTGGGATAGCAATGAAGGAAAAACCATAATAGAGGAAGACAGCATGGGGATAGAGAAAAACCAGGTTCTAGGGAAGTTCCCAGGAATCCACAAGGATGACCCCAGCTTAGACTACTAGCAATATTGGAGAGGGTGACTGAACTGGCTTACCCCAGTAATCAGATCAGTGAATACCCTAACTGTCATCACACAGCCTTTCTTCTTTTTTTCCCCAGTAAAGTGAGTATTTAAATTAAATGCAAATTACAGTTTTTGAAAGACAAAACATGCACTCTTAGAATTTTATTAGTAGAAATTTGGACTAAAGAAATCATGCCAAGTGGGACATATGTGTGAAAGCGAAATTCTGTGTTGTTTTTGCCTGCACAAATATGAGCACATATCACACACAGCCTTTCTACAGTAACTGATGGAAGCAGATGCTGGGATCCACAGCCAAACACCAGGCCAAGCTCCAGGAGTCCAGTCACAGAGAGAGAAGATGGATTCTGTGAGCAAGGGTATCAAGATCATGATGGGGAAACCTATAGAGACAACCAAACCAAACTAGTGGGAACTCATAAAATTTAGATCAACAGCAGTGGGGTGTGCATTGGACTGAACTAGGCCCTCTTCATAATCAAGACAGTTGTGTAGTTTGATCTGCTTAAGAAGACCCCTGACAGTGAGATCAGGATCAATCCTTGGTGCATGAGCAGGCCTTTTGGGGCCCACTGCCTATGGTAGGACACCTTACACACCATTGGTGCAGGGGGAGGGGCTTGGACCTGCCTCAACTGAGTGTATCAGGCTCTACTGACTCCCCATGGGAGGCCTTGCCTTGGAGGAGGTGGGAATGGCAGGATGGGTTGAGGGGGAGGCTGGGAGGGAGGAGGGAGAGGATGGCATCTGTGGTCGGTATGTAAAATGAATAGAAAATTTCTTAATAATAATAAAAATGCATAATATCAAAGTACATGAAAGATTTTTCAATGTTTAGCAGGATAAATAGAATTCTGACTTACTGTTTTTCAATCCCCTAACTCCTCACAGATCCTCCCCACACACCCAATTTCATGTTTGTTTTTTTTTTTCTGTCTTTAGAAACAAACAGGCTAATAAGACGTATTTTAAAAAGAAAGAAAAAATCATAACACACACAAACAACTAAAACTCATAAAAACACAAAATCGAAACCATGTAGACAAGCAATTGTCCAGTAAAACAACAACAACAAAAAGAAATGCCAAAGCAATATGGGACAAAAAAAAGTCTACAAAAAAATAGCATTGATTTTGTTTGCTTTCCATGGGCCTATTCTTAAGTGTGGCTAATATGCTCGGTGAGATTCCGTTGGAGAAAATCTTTTTCCTTTGTGCACAATTGTTAACTGGAGATAGCGTCTTGGTCAGGGATGGGAGATCTTGTCCATTTCCCTCTCAGCGCTGGGACTGTGACTTGAACCTGTACAGGCTACCACAGTCTCTGTGAGGTCATATGTGCCTTAGTCCTGATGTCTGAAAGACACTGCTTTCTTAGTATGGCCCTCCCCTCTGGCTCTTAAAATCTTTCTGCCTTCTCTTCTGCATAGCTCCCTGGTCCCTGAGGGGAAGGGTTTGATGGAGACATCCCAGTTAGGACTGACTGTTCCAAATTCTCTCACTTTCCACATATTGTTCAGTTGTGGGTCTCTGTGTTAATTCCCATCTGCTGAAAGGAGAAACTTCTCTGATAGTGATTAAGATAGGTACTGATCTATGGGTCTAGCAGAATATTATTAGGAGTCATTTTTTTGCTATGTTCCTTTATCAGAACAGATAGACCTAGGCCTACAGTTTATCATTGACTTACTTTTTAAAAATCAACCTCTAGGAAAATTACATATTTGTTCATATCCATAGAAATTGTTTTAATCAGAAATAACACTGGTTTCAAGCATCATTATGTACCTGACTGAAGTATAATTTAATTGTTTTCATAGAAATGTGAATGTCAGCATTATTAATTTTTTCCATGAGTTTTGAAAGATTGAATGTTGTAATATTAAGGTTCTGATATTTTGATAAATCACAAATACAGATTTGGGTACTTTGTATTTATTTTTGGTAAATATTTTCAAGAGAATGGTTGTCAAGGTCTATTTTCAAATTTCATCTAAAATTAAATATATTTCATAATAAATAGAATTTCTTAATCATTGATAGAAACCTTCAGGTAAATAATTACAACCAGATGTCTGTATCTTTGTTACATATGTTACCATTTTTAACATTTTATATAGCAGGAACATCATTCATTATCATCAATATTATTTGAAATTGTTTCATCTGTAACATTTTGTTACTGATGTTAGTTACAGAAGTTAAAATGGCAGACCACACCATCAAGTAGTTGACTTCAAACTCTGGAGCAAATTAGTTAAACTGTTCATCTCAGAACCTTCTACACTAAAATATAACAGTGATAATACCTACTTATTTAGTTGCCACAAGGATTAAATAAACTGACAACATTGAAATGCCCTGCATAGTGCCTTATTCACAATCAGTGTTCAATTAACATTAATCAGCCATTATTTGTCTGTAGGAAATTAAGATAGATTCTTTGGACACTGATAGTTCAAGAATAAATATTAAAATTAGGAAGTATTGAACACATGAATGTATGTCAGATTTTCAAAATGTCATAATTAATTATGTCACTTCTTTACATTTTTATTCTTTTATTCAAACTACTTACATCAAAAAGTACTTTATTCAAAGTTTTTTTCATCACGAAAGTCTTTCCTCCCTCTCAACTGTGTAGGTAAGGCAATTTATACTTCTTGGCTAAGGTTATCATGGCTCTCTGAAGAGAGTATAGTTTCCTCGGAGCTGGAATGGCAATGAGGATATATCATTGCTGGGATCAGATCATTAGACACGACCTGTTGAAAGTAGGAAAATATCAGAGAAATATTCATCACATAAAATATTAATTCCTCAACATGAAAAGACTGAAATGAGACTTCAGAGAGTAAGATAAGAAAATATAAAGAAGAAAATGTCTTTCAAAAGGAAGATATAAATTAGAAATTTTCCCCAAAGCCATTAAATATTCCTTGAAAACAGGTAAGAGGGGGGAGTAAAGGAATGCGATTAGCCCAAAGCCAAAAGAAAAAATATTTAAAAATGCCTTTCTGCTTATTTGTTTTCAAAGTGATCATATCAGACTCTCAGAGGGCTTTTCCATTTTGTTCCCTTTAATGAAAACAAACATCACACAAATCCCCACATGATGGCAATGCTGAAATAGGAGATGTTCAAACAATTTTCACATGCTGCACATCAACATCCTTTCAATGGGACTTTGAAATTATATCAGCTTCTTTTATTAAGACATTTGATTAAATAATTCTTTAACCTCTTTTCTTGTGACTAACTGAAATCATACAGAAGGATAAGTACATTTTATATTACAAGCAGTTCTCTAGCTATCTATATTTAATTTTAGTTTTTTGTCCTTGACTAAAAAATAAGAAATTATTTTAAATATTCCAATGGGACAATGAGATACCTCAGCAGGTCTGGGTACTTGATGCCATGCTGGATAACTTTAGTTCAATTCCACAGGGTGGAAGGAGAGAAGCACCTCATACAAGTTGTCCTCTGGTTTCTATCCAACTTTGATGACACAGGCACTCACACACATACTCTTTTGCACATGTGTTCATGTGTGCACGCACACACACACATACACACAC